CAGTTTCCCACCCAACAATCTCCTGGCTTCACAGACAATAGTACCAAAAAGAGAAAATATCCGGTGGGCGGTAGTTCTTTGGGCCAACAATGTCAGAGCAGGATGGCCAAACTGCTTCGAGTTGATAAGAAAGCAACAGTGAGTCAAATAACCACTGATTATACCCAAAGTATGCAGAAGAACATGAAATGGGGGCTGTTTTCTTTGAGCACTATTTCAACAGCACAGCCGCCCTGAGTGTCCACCCATCTTATGACAGCTGGTTCCAACTGGTTAATGTCTCGTACTGGGATCAGTCCAGACCAGAGCACCACTGGGATGTGGTGCAGCATTATTTGGACCTGCAGCTGCACCATGCTGTTGTGTCAGTGTGGACAGGAAGCTCCAAACCTTGTTGAATATATGCCACAAAAGGCGTACCTAATAAAGTGTCTGGCAGAGGAGAACATAAGTAGATTTTTTATAAACAATAACCTCACGTGGACCTGAAATTGATCTCATCTTCAAGTCTAGAGAACAGTTGTGAGGTATTTTGTTCTGGCACCCGTTCATGTCCAGGCTTTAAGAACAGTCTAGTTTAAATATGTGTTAGTCCCCGTAGTCTCCTCTGCATTTAACCCACCCACACAGTGAGCGGGCAGCACCCACACAGTGAGCGGGCAGCACCCACACAGTGAGCGGGCAGCACCCACACAGTGAGCGGGCAGCACCCACACACTGAGTGGGCAGCACACAGTGAGTGGGCAGCGCCCGGGGAGCAATGTGTAGGGACAGTACCTCAGGGTAGCTGTTCAGTGGATTCGAACCCCCGACCTTCTGATCATGGGGCGACCACTATACCTACTGAGCTGTCCGTATCTGATTGCAATGATCAGTTCATGAGTTGACAAACCCGTCACATGTGCTGGAATCACAGACGCGATTGGTGATTAAAGCTTGTCTTTAAATGGATATCAGAGCTTCTTGTGTTTTCAACCCCAGGTTCATAAATGAGACAGACGTCAGTCCACTCATCAAATCTGCATCCTTCTCTAAATGTCCCTCACTAAGTCTGATAATGCAAACATGCAGTTCAGATTAATACTTCCAGGTTCCTGCACCAATATAAGAGTGGGGCTCGTGTAGCACAGTGGCAGAGCTCACTCACAGCTTCACCCTGTTGACAGGAGTTGGTCTGCCTCAGGTTCGCAGCTGCTGAGTTTGGAGTTGACATGCAGGGAAACCGTCCTGATCACGTGTCTCTTTATAGAAGTACTTTGATGCTTCAGTGAGCGTTCAGCTCTTTACAAACATTACACCACCATGTGTGTTCCTGTCGTTGTCATCCTGGCACTAAGCAGAACCATCTGTGGGTGTCGTCGCAGCTTTCAGTGCCAAATCATCTCGTGTCTGCAGTCGTAGTCATTGCTGTAGTTGCAGTTTTGTTTGTAGTGATGACCTGTTTTCCCTAAATAGCAGCTGTTAAACTTCCCTTCACTGCTTTCACTTGAGTCCATTTTGCTGAACGCCTGCGTGCCAGTCTTACTAATCGACTTTCACTCAACGTCTCCTCCTCCTCTCAAATCAGGAGCCTCAAACCACTGTTATCCACAACCCAGCTGATGGAAATAAGGTACACGGCTGAAGCTGCTGCTGCTGTTCGTCACCATTTAGACTAGAAGCTTAATGCTGCTTCTGATGATGGTGTTTGTGTGCCGTTGCTCTAATTCAACGTCATGCAAGAAAACAGCCGAGAGATCTGTGAAATACTGCACGTTATGAACTGTTGCATGTAATCATTTGGACGTAATCTTGGTCATCTGCTTACTGTGACGAATATCATGTTTAATGTTTAAATTGTGCTGAGGTTGTTTCTTTGGAGAAGCATCATCACGTGCTGTGACCAAGCAGCTGTGCATGTTGTTGGACACAGCAAAGAGAAAGCACATGGATACCAGAGCCATCCTCAGTGCTTCTCACAGTGTTGTGCAAACGTATGGATCTACATCAGCGCGTAAATCCATAAGACATAGACAGAAATGCATGCTTGTGTTATTGCTTTGTGGAGTGAGGATATTGTGATAGCTCATATGTTATATGTGCGTAGTCTGCTGTGTAGATGCATATGCAAGCTGGTAGGGCTGCACGATTTTGCATAAAATGAGAATCACGATTTTTTGGCTTAGAATTGAGATCACGATTCTCTCACGATTTTCTTTTCCAGTATAAATATTTATTGCACTTATTAACTGCACATCAACTTCGTAACAGTTGAGACTGAACATAAAAACAATAAATAAACATAAAACA